CTACGTTGACCGCCAGTGGATCCAACATGACATGTTCACTCCAAAGTTGTGGTCAGTCTTCAAGGTGACCGTCCGCACAAATAATCATGTTAAAGGTAATAATGTCTTCTTACTTTTTTATTACAATTGATAGAAAAAGGAATATATATGTGAAATGTTACATGTTTTATACAGTTTATATTTAACTAATAAAACATGGTATCATTATATTCCAGGATGGCACTTGCGACTGAAGACGAAGACCAACTCTCACAAGCTTGGTATATACCAGCTGGCCGAAGTTTTGAAGACAGAAGCCGACATGGTGAACCTTCAGACCAGACTAGTGCGGAACGGTGTTCTGACTTCCCGCCTGAGGAGGAAAGCTACACAGAGCCAGAAGCGTATCTTTGCAGCCTGGAACGAGTACCGAGATCACTCTGATGTCTCTCCTGACAACCTGCGAACAGATCCACGGTCCAATGGAGTGAAATGCAAAATAGGACGTGTATATATTGTATATTTGTGTGTAAAGGACAATGCATGTTAGTGAATATAACTGAAAACAATCTGAAAGGAAGAAATGCCAATTTGCTATTGTGTGTTTACAATCTCAACAATAGACCAGTGAACCTACTAAATACATTATATGCGTAAACAAATCTTAGTTGTTATTTTCATATTGAAAAAATATATGTGTCGACGTTATAGCCAAAATTATTGTAGCCGTTACAGCCAAATTTGTCGCCGTTACCGTCAATTTCTTTGTCGCCGTTACCGTCAATTTCTTTGTCGCCGTTCTACTGTGTCGCCGTTTAAGCTGGTCCCCATATAAACAATTCATAATATTTTCCGATTCTCTTTCATGCCTTCAGGCCATTAAAGATCTTTCTTGTAAACATCCACTTTTAATAGAAATTATTGAATTGTACAATGATCTTGCTACTGGCCAGTGCGACATCGTCTTGTTTTTGGTTTCCCAGCCATGTTGGTATCTCTGGGAACACAATGGCTGATTTTGCTGCTAAGGCAGCACTCAACAAATCTGTGACACCACTTCTTATCCCATGCTCTGATTACAAAGCTAGCATTAGAACTTACATCCGTGATCTGATGCAAAAGAAGTGGGACACCCAGGCAGGTATCAATAAATTACATGCAATAAACCCCCTATATCGGTTACACCTACTTGGGTTGTCAGTCCAGATTTGAAGAGGTTATTATGCGACGATGTCACATTGGCCATACTAGATATATTCACGAATATTTATTGAAAGGCGAAGATCCTCCGTTTCTGTATCCCTTGTGATGAAAGAATCACGGTCAAGCATGTCTTGCTTGACTGCATTGAATATTCCAATACAAGGGATAACTATTTCAAATCACGAACTATAAAGGATCTTTGTAATAATATAAGTTCTCATTTAATTATTGCATTTTTAAAAGAATTAGATTTGTCAAATGATTAATAAATAGATAAATATTTTATTATTGGTAGTTTAGATTAGTATCTGAGATTGTTAGTGGCTGTACCCCCAAAGGAGGTTGAAGTATTGTAAAATGATTGTCCTCCTGAGAAGGTACGTAAGTCCAAAACACATTTAAATTCAATTTAAATCGATCCAACCTTTTAAATCGTAGAATATGCGTGTTTTTAATATATGGCTCAATATGTCTTAACAGCTAATGCCTGAGGGAATGGTGTTAATCCAGCGTGGGTCCATGGAGGAACCAAATGTACTGTAAGTCCACATTGTCCCTAGTATGGTGATCTACCTTCAGTTGTTGGCAGTATATAGTCTGTTTTTACCTTGTATTGTCATCTATAGTTAAACTGTTTTAGATTTAATTACTTATTTTAAATTTGAATCTGTGGTAATCTAGATATTTGACTGTCCTTCGCTGACAGGTTTTACAATTTGCCATTAACTATTATGTATAAAGATAATTGTTCTCGTCACGATATGGCTGAAATATTGACGATGTGAGGATGAATTGTAACTCACTGACTCCTCTCGCAAGTTATGCCTTGCCTTGGTGTCGTGGCATCAAAAGTAAACAACAACTGAATATGCATGTTACAGTTTCTGCAGGCCGGGCAGTGTGATAGGGTTATATATCAATAATGGTGAAAATTATAGGCTTTTGTCAATTCTTATACAACACAATATTACAAATTCCGTATACCAACCACACTGTGTACATATGCTAAGGTAAGCTGAACAAACTAGAGAAACCATTATCAGGTATTTGAACATATCGTGATTACCTCTTACGTCAAAAGTACATCAGAATGTAACAACTCACAAGACACGGACATGACATGATCAGAGAGATCATGAAGGCCACATACTACATCATCCAGCCTGGGCCAGGATTTACCCGGGGAGTCCACAAGGTCTCCATGATGTTTTCGGACAATAAAGAGCCTTTTAAAGGAATGTTTAATCTATTGCTGGAACATGACAAGTTATTGATCAAGTCATCTCAAAAATTTCATTCTTCACCACACATGGCTGTCGCCATCTTGGTTGCTGTACCTTTACAATATATAGTTTGTTGACTGACATGACCGAATCCATTTTCATAACCGTTAATGGCAAAAATTCGATATCTGTCTGTATTTCTGTATTCATCTGGGTTGTTTTTTCGAATATCCACGACTGATTCCAGACACAGGGAACGTTATCCATCTCAGATGGAAATATGTCATTAACCTTTGATCATGTCATTATCGTGATTTGCTACGGACAGAGTATTCACACAATGGCATTAGAGCCATAACGGTGACTAAAGCTGCCAATCTCGCTGAAAGTATCACTCACAATAAGACAAATCAAAGGTAAACAGCGCAAAATTGATTGCTACACCAATTTCAAGAGCGACAGAGCCGTAATGAGGACATTGTCGATCTGACAGCCGACCGGTGTGAGAGTCCAGTAACGGGTTGTAACAATGTCAGCAAAGATCGCAACTTCGGAAAGGAAAGTTGCCTGGACAGATGAACCTTCATCTACAGACAATATAGGAAGTCTGTGGACTGATTTCACACAGAATACGGGATTCCATGGAGCCAACAAACTCACCACTGGACATAACTACAGACCACGATGGTGAGTAGAACAATATCAATATATTGCACATACAATAGATAACTGGCGTGTCAGTCAATTGTGGTAAGAGTATATGTAGTTTATTGAGTTTAGATAACAAAGTACATGCATCATGTACACTCTGAGAGAAAACCATATGATACAAACAAAAACTAGGTCCCATTGCAAAGTAATGCAAAGAGGCCCCGTACAATGCAGGAGTTTATTTTATTATCATTATTAGATAATTGGTCGGCATTTTGGAAAAAAACACTGGATAATTAAAGGTCGCATACCCAGCACGATTACAGTTTTGGAAAGACCCTTTCACAAATATACGTATACGAGTGCAATTTGTAAGTCCCTGCAAAACGTTAGAAGATGTCATGAAACATCTTTTCCGAGAGATAAAATAGTTTCCCGTTGACGAAGAGCAACTACCTTAGTGGGCGGCGCAATATTATATTTTAGGCATGCCACTGTCTAAAAAGTAAGTTTGAATATGGATTTATATTGACAACACTCGGAGACTGGGCGTCATTATATTTGTTGCTGTACCTTTACAATATATAGCTTGTTGACTGACATGACCGAATCCGTCTTTGTAACCGTTAATAGCAAAAATATCTGTCTGTATTTCTGTATTCATCTGGGTTGTTTTTTCGAATATTCAAGATTGATTCCAGACACAGGAACGTTATCCATTTCAGATGGAAATATGTCATTAACCTTTGATCATGTCATTATCGTGATTTGTACGGACAGAGTCACACAATGGCATTAGAGACATAACGGTGACTAAAGCTGCCAATCTCGCTGGAAGTATCACTCACAATAAGACAAATCAAAGGTAAACAGCGCAAAATTGATTGCTACACTAATGTCAAGAGCGTCAGAGCCGTAATGAGGACATTCGCGATCTGACAGCCGACCGGTGTGAGAGTCCAGTAACGGGTTGTAACAATGTCAGCAAAGATCTCAACTTCGGAAAAGAAAGTTGCCTGGACAGATGAACCTTCATCTACTGACAATTTAGGAAGTCTGTGGACTGATTTCGCACAGAATACGGGATTCCATGGAGCCAACAAACTCACCCCTGGACATAACTACAGACTACGATGGTGAGTAGAACAATATCAATATATTGAACATACAATAGATAACTGGCGTGTCAGTCAATTGTGGTAGGAGTATATGTGTTACTTCCATCTTCATAATGCACGTCTAAATAAGCAATGGATATGGGATAAATGATTTTTTTTTATTGAGTTTAGATAACAAAGTACATGCATCGTGTACACTCTGAGAAAACCATATGATACAAACAAAACTAGTCCCATTGCAAAGTAATGCAAAAGAGGCCCCGTACAATGCAGGGAGTTTATTTTATTATCATTATTAGATAATTGGTCGGCATTTTGGAAAAAAACACTGGATAATTAAAGGTCGCATACCCAGCACGATTACAGTTTGGAAAGACCCTTTCACAAATATACGTATACGAGTGCAATTTGTAAGTCCCTGCAAAACGTTAGAAGATGTCATGAAACATCTTTTCCGAGAGATAAAATAGTTTCCCGTTGACGAAGAGCAACTACCTTAGTGGGCGGCGCAATATTATATTTTAGGCATGCCACTGTCTAAAAGTAAGTTTGAATATGGATTTATATTGACAACACTCGGAGACTGGGCGTCATTATATTTGTTCATAGAACATTTGCAGCGTTTAGATACCATGAGAGAATGATGTCAGATATACATTGTTCAAAGAAGGTCAGAATAACTTTCTTATCATAAAATATCTATCACCCTGTGCGTGTTAGGATGGTATATATTTGATTCAAGTGTAAACAATATAGAGAGTTACATGCAGAAAACATACATTACAGTGTTACATGGACAGTTGCAGTCCTGGTGATGTCAGCGTATATGTCTTACAACATAACAAAGGAGCTGATGGACTACTACAGATATCCAGTCATCACCAACACAAAGGTCGAAGTCCTTGAGGAGGTGCCTTTCCCTGCCGTCACCTTCTGCAACCAGAGTCCGTATAACTTAACCAAAGTAAGAGCAGCTGATCCTCATCTTGAGGAATTCTTCAGGAATATCAGTGTGTTGGGTTCATTCATGGGACCCGTAAACTGGAACGACCCTGTACTTAATCGGCCTACCTTTCGAGAGAGTCAGTCACTTGACTGGTGGAAAAATATACACATGGACCCAAACGATATGTTAAGTATTTGTTTGATGAATGGTGTTTCATATGAACCATGTTGGTCGGTGATGAAGCCTGTGTTAACCACCTTGGGCTATTGTGCCACTTTCAACTGGAATGCTTCTGATGTAGCTACAGTGCGAGTGGCTGGTTCAGATAACAATCTTCACATTTTTGTGAAAGTCGATCAGATCAACTATGTGCTTGGTTATCAGCTCTCATCCGGAACAAAGGTACGTTCGACAATATATTACATGGCAAGGGGAAATATCAAACAAAATTATATTTCTTCAATCGTTTCATTTTAATATTGATGGACAATAAAGTACGATATGAATAAAGCACGTGGTAATGACGATTCGGATGTCAGTGATTGATTATCATCACTTTTCAGATGACAAGCATGAATAAGTTTGGTTCGGCCAACATAACTCTCTTAAGGTATAACAATTCATTTGGTAGTGGTGATTAAGCCAGTGTTGTTGTGTTTTACAATCAATTAGTTTTTTCAATGGTGAAAGGTAATCCTGCACGATCCTCGTATTCACCCAGACGTTGCGGGAACCTCCTTCCTGGCAGCTCCGGGTACAACAACTAATGCTGTTATTCAGAGATCAACGGTACGCCCTAGATTAGCATGTGTCTTCCAACTGTCAAAGCTGTTTACACGGTCGTCCTGACAAACGTATTTTGTAACTGAATAATTCTGGCGAGAGGTTCAACCCAAATTTATACAATGTCGTTATTAGGTCACAGTGTCTCTTTTGCATATGTAAGGGCAGGATTGATTTTGTGGTTTTATGTTAATAAAGAATTTTGTTAAATAAATTATCTCGAAAGATGATAGAATGAATTGAGGTGAGGCGGCGACACACATGTAATATTTATCATTTTCTTGTCATAAATCTTGCCTCCACTTTTTGGAGTTCACATCCACTTTCTGGAGTTCACCCTCACAGTGTTTCAATCGATAGGCTTCCAATCTCCGCGTTTTAGCTGTTAATAGCACCTGGTGGTTAGCAAAACATTATTAAAGAAATGTAATTCATTTTATATTACATCCTGACATTTTCATGTGACTTATTCTGTTACAGTACCAGTACTTACCGCCGCCCTATCAGGCTTTCAAGAATCGAACATGCGTTGATACATTGGATCCGTCATTTAACAACACCCTGAAATATTCCGACACATACACATACGAAAACTGCCTTCGGGAGTGTATGACAAAGATAACATACAGCATATGTGGTTGTGTCGCTATATCCGATAACCGTAAGCTCATAAATCATGTGATTTACCAATCACAATCAAAATCGCCTAGGTATCTGTGTATATGCTCATCTGGTATTCTTATCTTTTCTAGTTGTTCTTAATTACTTCAATACATTTGAAGGCTACAAGTTAAAAGAAACAAAAATAACCAGTAATATTATAATAAGTAAAATATACTTTCAACATATTTTGTCTTCTTGCATATTACTGATTGATGGACTATCTTTTGTAAAATCTTCATTCGCGTACATCTATATTTTCTAGGAGCCATTGGACAATATTGTTCTATTTACAACCAGACGAAATGCTATTATCCGACATATGGTAAGTTTGAAACTGTATGTCATATACAACATGTGTCATTTACTGTCTGCTGTTGTGGATATGGGCATGGATAAAGTGGAAAACGAGAAAACCATTGGCATGTTTACATATAATCAAGTACTTGTTATTGTTTTTAATGTTGCCTCTTGATGTTTAATGCATACATTTGCCAGTTTGATAGCAAGATCGCCATTTCATTGCACAACGAGTTCCTAGATTGGAAATTTCTTCTCTGTAAAATAACTGAGTTGCCGTTTTCACAGCCTCTTCACAACGTTTTACGTAATGAAAGAAGACATGAGACAGATACTTACATAGATAAGGATATGACCGTATGAACGGTGCATAAATAGAGCTGACATTGCTTTAAAGTCGATATAAAAGCTGTAGAATTAAATTACTAAGTCATTTATTTGAGCGTATGTTATTGTCTGCATGTCTGAGCATTCGATATTAATGTTTTTGTCCCACTGCTATTCTATTCTATACTGGACAAAATATGTTAGGGATACTGGTATTTTATGATTGATATTTTATCAGTGTGCTAATGAATAAATATATCATTTTTCATAATTTTAAAATTTACATATTTCCAGTATATTAATCACTGCCGCCATATTACATCAAAGATGAGACATCAATTGTGTATTTCTGGTCATACTGCAGCATACGTAATGAGGAATGCGACGATTCGGAAACTGTGTGATTGTCAACTACCCTGCTCATTCGAGGCATATAATATAAAGGTATCATCTTCAAAATACCCATCAGATGTCTCTCTTGGCATGCTCCTGGATCTTAAAATCGCTCCAAATGAAGAATATGTCACGTGAGTACACCCAAACTCAGTAATCAGAAAAACGAAGGTTTTTATAGGCGAGCCTGTTGTCGTTTCAGTTTGGAATACAAATTCCTTAAAAATATTGAGCAAATTCAGATGTGGCGTCTTACGTTTAAATAATAACGTACACAGGTGGCAGAATATTTATGTATGTGTATTTATGTAAGAAATCGTCATTTGTACAAATTAGACTTAGAAGATGAAGACCACTTTTCCGGCTCAAATTTATTTTGGGATTGATTTTTGCCTTACAATTTGCAAGCTAATACGACATTGTTAAGCAATATCCCGAAATAAACCTGAAGACATTACCAGTGTACCTCGTATTATCTCCTATCCATATAATTTTTTCCATTCAAATATTTCAGTGGAAAAACTGTTAAGGATTGTTTTTGTAACAGTTGTTATTTTTTTATATTTAATTATGGAACTTTTAAAAGAATTATAGAATTATTAGATACATTTTGATGAATAGTTTGTAAATAGATAAATGTTTTATTATTGGTAGTTGAGATTAATATCTGATGTTGTTAGTGGCTGTACCCTCAAAGGGGGCTAAAGTATTGTTAAAGGGGAAGTGTACACGGATAAATGAAATTTATTCTTATGTGAATCAAAGTGAACTGTTTTAATTAGTTAATACCAATGTTTGAAAATATACACTCATTTGTCTTACAATGTAAGTATAACCCTCAAAATAAGTGCTGAAATGTTATGCCAATCTGAGGTATTCGTTTGCCGAGCTAAACAGGCCTGAGTTACCGCCCTTTGATTATGACGTAATTGGTGCCACTTGATTTTAAACTAGTCTCCTGTCTAGTCCCAAATCAAAAGATAATAATACTGATATTAATCACGTGAAAAAAGGTTTGTGAAAATACGAAAGAAGCATAAGAACAGAAAATGTAAGCAGCAGGACGGATTGATCGTGTGTATTTTCATTCATTACCACGCTTCAGTGAAAATACCAATATGTATAACAATGTTGACGTCCGTATGACATCACTATCGGGAATTAAGCGACTCTTTCAAAATGGCGTGTTCACTGACACGAGTACGCCGGAGTTTTCGAAGGAAATTTTTGTTGATTCAAGCAACGTATATGCATAAATGTGACGTGAAAGTAGTCCGAAAATTCTGTCAGTCTGCTGGTTGTTATTTTCGTTTTGTTTTCATTGTGACCAAGGGAAATAGTAAGAAATTAAGAGAAGTACCGTCATCGTTATGCGTGAGTTTGCGTCAGTTATGTCGTCATGCTTTCAAAAACTATAATATGTTGTGATGAATCTAGAAAATCATTGGAATACACCTGTTTTATTTAACTATCGCTTGCTACGATACCTTTCCCATGCATGTTCTAAAACTAATGAGCAATTGTATGACACAAGCAGGCGAAAGGATACACAGTGTAAAATCTGAGATTGGCTTTGTATACATTTCAAACAAGTATTCTTTCACAGCGCGGCATCTCATATCCTCGATATATTTCGTTAGATTTCACTGTAACACTTCGTATTGGTGACAGAGTCTCGGTTCATCGATAATGTTTAAGAACGAGCATTGGTGATTCGATCATACAACAACAAAACTACCGCTGATCACAATGATCACGTCTTTTTCTTTTAAATTCAATTCTCCCAGTAAAATTTGACATTTGAATTACGACATACCATAAATTACGCAAAACGCAGTGAATGGTGATTTAGAATGTGTCAAAACTGGCGAGATTTACGATGCATGTAATTTTCAGTAAATTTTATCTACAATGAGCGGATGATATCATAGAAAAACGAATTTCAAACAGTGTTCAAAACTGCAAATTGCATTTATCTGCGTGATGTATTTGGATATGTACTATCGATATCAAAGTGAAGGTGGAAGAGGAGGGACGTATCGTACCATTTATGTAAGAACTTTAGTAATAAACGTAGAATGCCGGCACATTCACCGATGGCAAGCAAAATGTAGTGCATATACGTTTTAGGTTTCATGAAAAAAGATACTGTTGGAAAGGCGACCGACTCCGGTTAAATATTGCATGCATAATATTTATTGATGGTCTGACGTTTGTAAAATTTTCAATCGTGTTTATCTATATTTCTAGGAGCCATTGGACAACATTGTTCCATTTATGACCTGACGAAATGCTATTCTCCGACATATGGTATGTACAAAACATATATCCTATATAGCATAGGTCATTTATTATCTGCTGTTGACGATATGGGCACGGATAAGGGGAAATCGAAAATAACATATACATGTTTACATAATATATTATAATCATAGTTTGTGTTATTGGTTGTGGGGTTTTTGGTCGCTTATTTATTGATGTCTAATGGTTGTATACGCCAGCTTTCATTTGCAAAAGTACGATTTCGTTGCACAGTCAGTTCCAATGTTAAAAATGTCGCCTCTGAAAAAATAACTGTGTTGCCGTTTCACAGCCTCTTTACAACGTTTTACTAAATGGAATGAGATGTGAGACACATGCGTATATAGATAATAACATCACCATATGGATAATAAATAAATGAAAACAGACATTACTTTTTAAAATGGATATTCTAGCTATAAAATGAAATCTTGCAGTCATTAATTCGACGGTATGTTCTGAGCATTCTATTTGCATGTCTGAGCATTTTGTAAATATTCGCCCCATGTTTTACACTGCTATTCTTGTCATGTTCATCACTGCTGCCATATTTCATCTGATCAAGTGTGCGAAATCAATTGGGTATTTCTGGTCATATTGCAGGATATGTGTGATGAAAGAATGCGACGATTCGCAAACTGTGTAAATGTCAACTACCCTGCTCGTTCAGGAGGCATATAATGTAAAGGGGTTTCATCTACAAAATACCCATCAGATGTCTCTGTTCGCATGTTTCTGGATCTTAATATATCCCAAAGTGAGGAATATATCACGTGAGTACATGTAAAAATATAGTAATCATAAAAACGAAGGTTTGATCATCATTCCTGTGTATAACCGGCTTCAGTTTGTGTCCTCTTGACCCTAATGCATCAATCGTTGTTCATGCACCCTGTTGGATCAATGATAATACAATTTTGTTTCGAGGAATTAAGACCTTTTGTTTCTGAAGATCTGAGACGATTTCAGAATTGTGGAGCTAGCTTTGAGCCTGTGCATGAAAATGTCCATCCCGGTATTGTCGCTCACAGAACAATTAGCAATGTTAGTGCGTCGTTTATAACTAAGAAGGCTACACCTCGTGAAAACAACGCACCACAAACTCACTCAATACTATATGTTATTCACAGCTTAATTGTAATCTGTATAATATTGGAATATTGTTTTACTTTTCAAACGCTGCATGTTTCTATGCTGTTGGGCAGGTTTGGAAAGGGATCGGATGATCATCGCTTTGAAAGCTTTTGCTATTGTAAAGGCAAAACCAGGTTCATGAACGTTTCTGATATTGATCAAAACTGAAACCACACAAAACAATGAACAACAATTACATTTTTGACCGGAAAGACATTGAGCTATCAGTATCTCAGTAACTCTTTACACAGCTAGAGATTGGAACACTTGGCCATGCTGGCGGAAACACACGGTGTACGCATCAGAGCTAGCTTAATTCCTACCGAATGTGCGGGCTACAGTGTTTTAAGCGATACATCCACTCTGCATTATCACTTCGCAGTGGGGTAGGTTTCATTAATCCCAATGAGATACTGAAATGCTACCTTGCGAAGGAGCCTGATGGTTTTCGCAATCGCGACTTCCGTCCTTGGCTGTACCCTGGGGCGATATTTTTTGTGAAGGAATATATCTTAGTGCTGGTAATGCATTATGGCACTAATGAAATCAAATGAACTTGAGAAACACAGGCGATGTTACGTCAGATAATTATACTAGTTATACTATAAATATTATATTAGTTTGATTAAATTTCCCCGGCTTAATGAAGTATGTGGTAGTGTAGGAAGTCGTGTGAATATAGTGTAATAATCGTGTAATTATAGTCCAGGAAGCTTAGAATGATGTCTAGTTTACATCTGACATCCCGAAATGACTCACTGTTTAGCTCTACCATACTTTGGGCAGTGTAATTACATAAGTGCAATGATGGGGAGTGATTGTTAAAAGCGTTGATTCTTACGTCATCTGTTGACACACGTGTGTCTCGTTTCAAGAGATCTATGACGGCAGATATGGCTGAAATATTGCAGATGTGTACGTTAAATAATAACTCACTCACTCACTCACTCACTATGACAGCAGATCAGAATGTACGTTGTGGTTTATATGTTGCCGAGTCGTTAGTAAACACACATCTTTGTCTCACACCTTTCGAATGTTTTGAGATAAGTTCATTAATTACAGCAAAGACAAAAACTACCATTTCAAGAAAACCCTACCGTGAGCTCTGAATATAAATCAATGCAGTCTACAACCTTGAATCCATTGTTGATGGCTGGCAGCTTTACATGTTTTTGCATTTGCCATTGAAAATGAAAAATGTAGTCCTTGTCAAAATACAATAGAACACACTTTGATTCACAACGTTCGAGCGTTTTATGATAAACCTTTCCCAACTACATACATGAATACTGTCATTTCAGAAAGAACCTTCTCGAGATAAGACTTTTCTATGAGGACCTGATCGTCCAGTCGACAGAGCAAAGTCCGAAATATACAACGGAGACTTTCTGATTGGTGAGTCGGCACCTCATGACATCCAGTGTCGTTTCAGCGTTAATGTAGGAATTGCTTGAAGTTACATCAGGTAGTTACATATATGACGGTATGATCCTGTTCTATTTTTGCGTATTGTTTTGACTGTGTTTGGACAGTCAAACGTATGCCTTTTGGCGTCAATTTGCACTGCGATAGACAGTCTTCAAATTAAAGTATTTTTAGCATCACTCACATTGACGCGTTTTATGTTGTTAGAAACCTGGGAGGCCAAATGGGCATCTGTCTCCGGAGCTAGTATCTTGACTGTCACAGAACTTGGAGTTCCTACTCATTGTCTGTCTGTCCATCTTCAGAAGATGTAAAGCGGGGTTGCGCCCCTGTGTTGGTGGAGGAAGGGAGTCTGGTGGTTGAGGGCACTGGTTCCAGGAACAGTGTACCTTTGCCCAACACACCACTTCGACGCTTACTTCACCTGGACGGGTGGTTGAATGGGCCCGGTTCAACCAATCGGCTGGTCATGCTAAGCCCTGTACATGCATGTTTGTTATACAAAATTTTGAAACTATTCAATTTTTGTCAGTTGTCTTAGTTTTATGATAATATATTTGCATTTCGATCAAGTAACTATAATTTAGTGTTTTGCCTAGAGTCCTATGTCCAGAAGGCAGTGGCTCATGGGCCAATCTGGTGGATTAATTACTTGTTAATTATTCTGCTTGAGTATATCATCCGGGTATCCTTGGTGCTGCAAGTCGGAAATCCACTTGTTATAAGCATTGTCTTTATGATACTCCATGGTGGGTGGGGAGCTCGGATGATGAATCAATATATACTACGCCATGGAATACGAAACCCCTCTAAGAAAACAAAACGTCCTCTTGACAACGATGATGACCAACGACCCTCCACTACAGTTGATTACTGGCCACGTTTCTTGATTGTTGAGACCTTGGATAAGACTCCTTTAAACTGAATCCTTTTGCGATTTCAAAAGGTGTTTATGGTATAGCAGGAGAAGTGAAGACCGTTAAGCGCTTGCGTTCAGGATCACTTTTAATTGAATGCAACAGGAAATCACAGGCAACGAACCTGCTATCGACAGATATGTTTGTTGGTGTTCCCGTTCTGGTCTCTGCTCATAGAACCTTAAACACTAGCAAAGGGATTGTACGAGACAGAGATCGTCTCTTTGCAGATATGACGGAGATTGATATCGTATCTGAGATGAAGGACCAAGGAGTGTTATTTGTCAGAAGATTTACCACCCGTAAAAATAATGAAACTGTACCAACAAACACTTATCTCTTTTCGTTTTCCGCTCCAAATCCTCCAAAATCAATCAAGGCTGGTTATTGCAATGTGAACGTTGATATGTACATCCCCACTCCTCTGCGGTGTTTTAAATGCCAAAAGTATGGACATGGTGTGAATAACTGCACATTGTCTGTTACATGTGCTCACTGTGCTGAGAATACACATGTAACAGAAGATTGTGACAATAGTTATAAAAAATGCGCCAACTGCAACGGTAGTCATTCATCTTTTTCTAAAGATTGTCCTATGTGGAAAAAGCAGATGGAAATAAACAGGATTAAATATACCAGAAATATCAGCTTTGCTGAAGCAAAAAAGTTTGTTCTTTCTACAGAACATACTGAAACCTATGCCTCCATCGCCAGCACATCAACCGTACCAACCCATAAAGAAAGTTCTTCAACAACCACTATTCTTACTTCCTCACACTCCTGCCAAACAGACTTGACATGGGTGAACTCTGACGCTCCCAAACGCTTTTCTCCTGATCAGTCTACTCAGACGGAGAAATCACTTCCTGCACAGCAGACCCTCTCGCAGGGACAATCATCTCCTATTCCACCAGCTTCTATTCCACCAACTAGTTCTCAGCGTGAAAGAAAAGAGAAACACACCGGAAAGACCAAAATCAAATCAAGAGCAGAAACTTCAAAACCAGATCGAGCACCCAAAGGGTCAGATCAGATAAAGATGTATAATAAATTCGGGTCACTAGAGGATATGGATGTGTCTGATAGCATCCACCCAAGGGCACATAGCTTGTCGCCCTCCAAGACAGTGCGGGGTAGATCCCCAATCAACCCACCAAAAAGATAGTTTTTTTCCAAAAATATAATACAGTGGAATTGTAGAGGATTAAGGATTAATTTTAATGAATTACAGATATTAGTCCAAGATTTTACACCTTCAGCATTCTGTCTTCAGGAAACCTATCTGAAACAGACAGATACATTTAATTTACATCAGTTCGATACCTATCATTGTTTTTTCACCTCCAGGTGACAGGGCAACCGGCGGATCTTCAATACTTGTTAAACAGGATGTTATCCATAGTCCTGTGGCACTTACAACTAATCTCCAAGCTGTTGCAGTTAGACTCACGCTTCACGTTACCTTTACATTGTGCTCTCTGTATATTCCGCCTTCTTCAATACTCCAGCAGTCTGATCTTCAAGCCCTCTATGACCAACTTCCGACACCCTGTATTCTAATGGGTGATCTCAATGGTCATAACCCAATCTGGGGTGGTACAAGCACTAACACTAAAGGTAAAATACTGGAAGATTTTATATCCAATAATGACTTGTGTATATATAATGACGATTCCAGCACTTATCTGCATCCTGCAACCGGCACTTACTCTTCTTTAGATTTGTCTCTTGCAGACTCTAACCTCCTCAATGAATTTGATTGGTCAGTCCACAATGATCTCTGTGGAAGTGGGCACCACTTTTCCAACTATCCTATCAAGAAATTTATCCCTCTGATTCTACATCTTATACAAGATGGAATTTTTCCAAGGCGGACTGGTCCTTATTTCAAACTTTGTTCACATCTAAACTAAAAACTGAATATTTCAGTGATATAACAGATCCTATTGAGGTTTATTCTGACGTCTTAAATAAAATAGCTGATGAGTGTATACCACTTAAAGATGGTGATAATTTAATTACTGACAAGTCTAAAATTGCAGATAAAATTGGCGAAACTCTTGCCAAAAATTCTTCATCGGCAAATTATGTCCCTGAGTTTCAGAGATACCAGAAACAACAGGAAAAGACTAAACTTAATTTCGAATCAAATAACGGTGAAGATTATAATGAAGTGTTTTCATTACATGAGCTACATACTGCTCTTGAGCAAGCTCATGACACTGCAGCGGGTGATGACATATCCATTACCAGCTACTGAAACACTTACCTGAACCATGTCTGATGACACTTTTAGATATATTTGACCAAATATGGACGTCCGGAAATTTTCCTCCCTCGTGGCGTAATGCCATTGTAGTCCCAATACCAAAACCTGGCAAGGATCATACAGATCCGTCTAATTACAGACCAATATCTCTAACTAGCTGTGTCTGTAAAACCATGGAACGTATGGTGAATAATAGATTAACTTGGTATCTTGAAACCAATAACCTTATAACAAATATTCAATGTGGTTTCAGGAAAAATCGTAGTACCATTGATCATTTGGTACGTTTAGAATCCTTTGTTAAAAATGCTATAGTAAATAAACAACATGCTGTATCAATTTTCTTTGATCTCGAGAAAGCTTATGATACGACCTGGAAGCATGGCATTTTGAAGGATTTACATGATTTTGGTTTGAGAGGCCGTTTACCTCTTTTTATATCACAGTTTTTAGAGGCAGGCAATTTCAAGTCCGAGTGGGTTCAACCCTGTCTGATCATTATAATCAGGATCAAGGTGTCCCTCAAGGCAGTATTTTGTCTGTCACATTGTTTAGTATCAAGATAAACAGTTTATCAAAGGTTTTAAATGATTCAATTGATGGATCACTATTTGTGGATGATTTTAATATTTCTTGTCGTGGTGGTAAAAATATGCATACTATTGAACGGCAATTGCAGTTGTGTTTTAAATAAAATAAATAAATGGTGTCTTGAAACGGCTTTAAATTTTCTAAATCCAAAACTAATTGTCTACATTTTGTAGAAAATATAAACCGCATAAAGACCCAGAACTATTTTTAAAATGGCACTCCAATCAAAGTTGTTAAGGAGGCCAAATTCTTGGGTCTAATTTTCGATTCCCATTTAACCTTTCTTTCCGCATATTAAATCCCTTAAAACTACGAGAACATTTTACATTGTACCGGAATATGTATATATTATAAAACCTGTCATCGAGAAGGACAGTAAAAGCAGCTGGAAGTATCACAGATATATATGTAAAACTAGTAATTGAACCTAAAACATTTTAACTATAGAGACAGCACAATCTAAAAATGGGCTATAGATCGCTAACAACTGAGTTGCAGATCACCATACTAGGGACCATGAGGACGCAGTACATTTGCTTCAAAGGGCCTAATACTGGATTTATATCATCCCCTCAGCCGTTAGCAATTAAAGACATATCTAGCCATACATTAAAATTACAAATATTCTACGATTAACAGACCGGTGGGAGTGCCCAATATTCGGTTGTAACAATGTCAGCGAAAATCGCAACTTCGGACAAGAAAGTTCCCTGGACAGATGAACCTTCATCTACAGACAATATAGGAAGTCTGTGGAGTGATTTCACACAGAATACGGGATTCCATGGAGCCAACAAACTCACCCCTGGACATAACTACAGACTACGATGGTGAGTAGAAGAATAATACATTGAGTGAGTGAGTGAGTTACCTCGGCAATATTCCCGTCATATAGTGATAAGAAAGGTTTTGCATACACAATAAATATAACTTGTTAAGTAATCAGAGGTCATCGAAGGACTGTAAAATAACTAGAGAATCAGAGACGGTGTCTAAAACTAGTGTCGAAATCTAAAAATAGCGTATTTACGAAGACAATGCAATATAAAAACAGGCTACAGGTCGCCAACAACTAAAGGTAGATCACCATACTAGGGACCATGGGGACCTAAAATGCGTATGCTACCTGCATGGACCCCAGTTGGATTTACACCATCTCTTCAGCCGCTGGCGATTGTAGGATAGGTTTTGCCGAAGTTTGAAATAATAAAAATAAATCTGGTAAATTTAGATTTAACTTTGAAAGTTTTGAGACTTACGTATCCTCTCAGGAGGAAAATAATTTAACGATACTTTAACCTCCTTTGATGATACAGTTGTTAATTTATACTACCATGTATAAAATGCCATTTATCTATTTACAAAACCTATCATTCAAAATTTATCTAATAATTCTATTTCCTTTAAAAATAATGTATTGAGCATACCATGGATAACTGGAATTGCAGTGGCTGTGTTACTTCTATCAGCATAATTAATGTCTAAAGTATCATAGGAAGTGTGATAAACGATACAAAATGCTATGTTAATATCCCTAGATTACCTAGTACATGCATCGTGTACAATCTGAGAAAACCATACAATGTAAATTAATTTAGTCCCTTTGCAATGTAGTGCAAAAACGTACACGTGCAATGTTGGTAGTTTATTTTATTATTTATTCTATCATAATAGGTAAATGATTGGTCAGAAATCTGGGTAGAACATTGGATAGTTCAAGGTTGCGTACCCAGCATTATCACAGTTTGGAAAGATTCTTTCACACTTAAATACTGAAAGGCAAAAGAATCGTCGTATGTAGATGAGATAGTAGCCGGTGGAATGGTAACGTCGTGTTTTTTAGATTATGGATTTGGTATCAATGATGTATGTTGATTAACTAGTTATCACTTGATGAGTGAAAACAAAATTGAAACAAAATGATTCGAAGACTAAATGATACGTTTGTCACTGTTTTTGGACAAGGAACAGCTCAACCAAACGCAACACTGAAAGCACACTGCGCGTGCATCTCGTGTGCATACAGGGTATAAATTGCCAGCTTGACTTCAGTCGTTTCCTGACTACAAGGTTAACAAGGACGTCTACACGTAGGTCAACGTGCTACTGTTATTGCCAATGACTTCAATTGTTTTGGAAGAGTGATCCATTCCCCCGCTTTCTATAGCATCTATTTATGACGTTTTTTGCCTTTCAGTATACATAGGTTTCAATCAATATATAGGAAATACTCTGTGATGCTTCACCTAATTTGTCAGACATAATATGTTATGTACCTTGTTTCACTTTTTGCCGTATGAGATATCTGATTGCAGTCTGTAATCACATTATGAAACGTTAGGAGAGGTCATGAAACACAACTTTTCACAGACGTAGAATAGCTTCCCGTTGCAGGTACTGTAGTGAGTGGAGCAATGTGTTGACGTGCTAAACGTGAACACTGACAAAGTTGAAATATTTAGGCACTTGTCTGCTGCGCTATCTAGCAGTTATGCCACTGTCTAAAAGAAAATTTGAATCTTGACTTATATTGACAATACACGGAGACTGGGCCTCATATATTTATTCACAGAAAAGTTGCAATGTTTAAAGAGCGTGTGTCGGAGATGTCACATTTACTTTCTTCAAAGAATTTCAGAACAACTTTAAATATTTCACTAAAGAAAATAAACCAGTAAAGGCAGTTACATACAGAACATGTATATTACAGAGTTACATGGACAGTTGCAGTCATGATGATTTCAATGTAATTTATTTCAAAAAAGAATATTTCAGTTAAATAGAGAAAATAAAACTCATCACTGTTTAACACACATTACAGTGTAACATGGTCAGTTGCATTCCTGGAGATGTCAGCGTATATCTCCTACAACATAACAAAGGAGCTGTCAGCTTCTATATTATGAGGAATAGAATGTTTTAAGAAGTTTACATGCATAAACTCTCTTCCGTGTGTGTGGTTTGTAAATGTCATTGAAAGACATTATTTCATTTTGTTGATATCTGATTGCAATCTGCAATCCCGATACGAAACTGTTTCTGTGACAAAAAGAAGCTTCCCGTTGACAAAGAGCAAGTACTGTCGTGGTCGGAGCAAAGTTAACACTGTGAATACAGACAAAGTTGAAAAATTTAGGCACTTGTCTGTTTCTTTATCTTGCTGTGACGCCACTGTCTAAAGGAGAATTGGAAGCTGGGTCTATATTAACAGGACACAGAGACTTGGCCTCACTATATTAATGCGCACATTCAGAGAAAAAATTCAACGTTCAGATACTGTGTGTCAGACATGTTATACTTACTTTGTTCAAAGACGTTCAAAATAACATCTGATGATAAAATATCAATAACGTTTTGTGCATTGGGATGGTATATATTCTGATTCACGTATAAACACAGTTACATACACAAAACATACATTACAGTGTTACATGGACAGTTGCTGTCCTGGCGATGTCAGCGTATATGTCTTACAACATAACAAAGGAGCTGATGGACTTCTACAGTTACCCAGTCATCACCAACACAAAGGTAGACGTGCTTGAGGAAGTGCCTTTCCCTGCCGTCACCTTCTGCAATCAGAGTCCGTACAACATGAGCAAAGTAAGAGCAGCAGATCCTTATCTTGAGGAATTCTTCAAGAATGTCAGCGTGTTGGGGCGTCTCAGAGGACCCGTAAACTGGAACGACCCTGTGCTTAATCGGCCTACCTTTCGAGAAAGAAAGTCACTTGACTGGTGGAAACAGATACACATGGACCCAAACGAGATGCTAAGTATTTGTTTGATGAATGGTGTTCCATATGAACCATGCCGGTCGGTGATGAAGCCTGTGTTAACCACCTTGGGCTATTGTGCCACTTACAACTGGAATGCTTCTGATGTAGCTACAGTGCGAGTAGCTGGTTCAGATAACAATCTTCACATTTTTGTGAACGTCGATCAGATCAACTATGTGCTTGGTTCTCAACTTTCATCCGGAGCAAAGGTACGTTCGACAATATATTACATGGCAAGGGAAAATATCAAACAAAATTATATTTCTTCAATCATTTCATTTCAATATTGATGGACAATAGAGTACGGTATGAATATAGCACGTGCAAATGATGATTCGGATGTCAGTGATTGATTATCATTAGTATTCAGATGACAAGCATGAATAACTTTGGTTCGGCCAACATAAAGGTACGTTGGACATGGTATGGGGGAAAATGACTAAAGTATATCTCGCGAATCATTTCATTTCAACACTGATAAACTGTAGGCTAAGATATGAATATACCATGTAGTTATGAAGATTCGGATGTCAAGGATTGTTTATCATCAGTTGTCAAAGGACAAATATGAACATTATCTAAAGGTATAACCATTGATTTGGAAGTAATGATTAAGGTAGGGTTGGGTTTTTTTGACAATCAGTGAGTTTTTTCAATGGTGAAAGGTAATCCTGCACGATCCTCGTATCCACCCGGACGTAGCGGGAACCTCCTTCCTGGCAGCTCCGGGTACAACAACTAATGCTGTCATACAGAGATCAACGGTACGCCCAAGATTAGCATGTGCCTACAAACGTCGCTTCTGTTTACACGTTCGAAACTCCCGACAAACCTAATTTGTTGCTTAATCTTTCTGGTGAGAGACTTGGTTTCGTTCAACCCAATTTTATTCAATGTCGTTATTAGGTCTTAGTGTGTCTTTGCATATGTAAGGGCAGGATCGATTTTGTGGTTTCATGTTAATGAAGAGTTGCTGTTAAATCAATCATACCTATGTATTGATGCTCGAAGTCTTTACCATCACAGTGTTTCAATCGACAGGCTTTAGATCTCCACGACAAGCTGTTATTAGACCCTGATGGTTAGCCAAACATTATGAAAAGAATGTAATTCATTTTCTGTTACAGTACCAGTACTTACCCCCGCCCTATCAGGCTTTCAAGAATCGGACATGCGTGGATACATTAGAACCTTCATTTAACAACACCCTGGAGTACTTCAACACATACACATACGAAAACTGCCTTCGAGAGTGTATGACAAAGATAACATACAACATATGTGGTTGTGTCTCGATGTCCGATAACCGTAAGCTCATAAGTCATAAGAATTACAAATCAAACTCAAAATCGCCTAGGTATCTGTGGTTGTATAACCTCATCAGGTATTCGTCTCTTTTCAAATTGCTCTATTTACCTCAGTACATTTGAAGGCTAAAAGTTAAAAGAAACAAAAACAACTAAATAATGTTATAATCAGTACAATACACGTGCAGCATCTTATTTCTGCATGCATAATATTTATTGATGGTCTGACGTTTGTAAAATTTTCAATCGTGTTTATCTATATTTCTAGGAGCCATTGGACAACATTGTTCCATTTATGACCTGACGAAATGCTATTCTCCGACATATGGTATGTACAAAACATATATCCTATATAGCATATGTCATTTATTATCTGCTGTTGACGATATGGGCACGGATAAGGGGAAATCGAAAATAACATATACATGTTTACATAATATATTATAATCATAGTTTGTGTTAGTTGTGTGGGGTTTTTTTGGTCGCTTATTGATGTCTAATGGTTGTATACGCCAGCTTTCATTTGCAAAAGTACGATTTCGTTGCACAGTCAGTTCCAATGTTAAAAATGTCGCCTCTGAAAAATAACTGTGTTGCCGTTTTCACAGCCTCTTTACAACGTTTTACTAAATGGAATGAGATGTGAGACACATACGTATATAGATAATAACATCACCATATGGATAATAAATAAATGAAAATGACATTACTTTAAAATGGATATTCTAGCTATAAAATGAAATCTTGCAGTCATTAATTCGACGGTATGTTCTGAGCATTCTATTTGCATGTCTGAGCATTTTGTAAATATTCGCCCCATGTTTTACACTGCTATTCTGTCATGTTCATCACTGCTGCCATATTTCATCTGATCAAGTGTGCGAAATCAATTGGGTATTTCTGGTCATATTGCAGGATATGTGATGAAGAATGCGACGATTCGGAAACTGTGTAAATGTCAACTACCCTGCTCGTTCGAGGCATATAATGTAAAGGTTTCATCTACAAAATACCCATCAGATGTCTCTGTTCGCATGTTTCTGGATCTTAATATGGCCCAAAGTGAGGAATATATCACGTGAGTACATGTAAAAATATAGTAATCATAAAAACGAAGGTTTGATCATCATTCCCTGTATAACCGGCTTCAGTTTGTGTCCTCTTGACCCTAATGCATCAATCGTTGTTCATGCACCCTGTTGGATCAATGATAATACAATTTGTTTCGAGGAATTAAGACCTTTTGTTTCTGAAGATCTGAGACGATTTCAGAATTGTGGAGCTAGTCGAGCCTGTATGAATGTCCATCCCGGTATTGTCGCTCACAGAACAATTAGCAATGTTAGTGCGTCGTTTATAACTAGAAGGCTACACTCGTGAAAACAACGCACCACAAACTCACTCAATAATATATGTTATTCACAGCTTAATTGTAATCTGTATAATATTGGAATATTGTTTTACTTTTCAAACGCTGCATGTTTCTATGCTGTTGGGCAGGTTTGGAAAGGATCGGATGATCATCGCTTTGAAAGCTTTTGCTATTGTAAAACAAAACCAGGTTCATGAACGTTTCTGATATTGATCAAAAACTGAAACTGACAAACAATGAACAACAATTACATTTTTTGACCGAGACATTGAGCTATCAGTATCTCAGTAACTCTTTACACAGCTAGGATTGGAACACTTGGCCATGCTGGCGGAAACACACGGTGTACACATCAGAGCAGCTAATTCTACCGAATGTAGACTACAGTGTTTTAAGCGATACATCCACTCTGCATTATCACTAGCAGTGGGGTAGGTTTCATTAATCCCAATGAGATACTGAAATGCTACGTACCGAAGGAGCCTGATGGTTTTCACTGTGACTTAGTTCTTGGCTGTACCCTGGGGCGATATTTTGTGAAGGAATATATCTTAGTGCTGGTAATGCATTATGGCACTAATGAAATCAAATGAACTTGAGAAACACAGGCGATGTTACGTCAGATAATTATACTAGTTATACTATAAATATTATATTAGTTTGATTAAATTTCGGCTTAATGAAGTATGTGGTAGTGTAGGAAGTCGTGAATATAGTGTAATAATCGTGTAATTATAGTCCAGGAAGCTTAGAATGATGTCTAGTTTACATCTGACATCTGAATGACTCATGTTTAGCTCTATATACTTTGGCAGTGTAATTAATAGTGCAATGATGGGGAGTATTGAAGCGTTGATTCTTACGTCATCTGTTGACACACGTGTGTCTCGTTCAAAGATCTATGACGGCAGATATGGCTGAAATATTGCAGATGTGACGTTAAATAATAACTCACTCACTCACTCACTCACTATGACAGCAGATCAGAATGTACGTTGTAGTTTATATTTGCCGTCGTTAGGCAAACACAAAGACTTTGTCTCACACCTTTCGAATGTTTTGAGATAAGTTCATTAATTACAGCAAAGACAAAAACTACCATTTCAAGAAAACCCTACCGTGAGCTCTGAATATAAATCAATGCAGTCTACACCTTGAATCCATTGTTGGATGGCAGCTTTTACATGTTTTGCATTTGCCATTGTTAGAAAAAATGTAGTCCTTGTCAAAATACAATAGAACACACTTTGATTCACAACGTTCGAGCGTTTTATGATAAACCTTTCCCAACTACATACATGAATACTGTCATTTCAGAAAGAACCTTCTCGAGATAAGACTTTTCTATGAGGACCTGATCGTCCAGTCGACAGAGCAAAGTCCGAAATATACAACGGAGACTCTGATTGGTGAGTTCACTCATGACATCCAGTGTTTCCAACGGAATTACTTACGAAGTTACATCAGGTAGTTACATATATGACGGTATGATCCTGTTCTTTGCGTATTGTTTGACTGTGTTTGGACAGTCAAACGTATGCCTTTTACGTCAATTTAACTGCGATAGACAGTCTTCAAATTAAAGTATTTTTAGCTCAACACATTGACGTTTTTATGTTGCCAGGAAACCTGGGAGGCCAAATGGGCATCTGTCTCGGAGCTAGTATCTTGACTGTCACAGAACTTGGAGAGTTCCTACTCATTGTCTGTCTGTCCATCTTCAGAAGATGTAAGCGCGGTGACGAAGTCAAACAAATCAAACCTTTGAAGTACTGAAGAATATGCACGTCGTGTTAGTGGATGTTGTCATTGACGACCGGATCGGATTCCCTTTTATATTCTTTCGTTCTTTTCAATTCGATGATTTAGTTTTGGTGTTGTCACCATCGAACATAATATACAAGATATGATATAGTTACGCAGCTAAGAGCATGAAGATCGATAAAGTGACAAACTATGTTGGATGGTGCCAAGGCTTTGATTGTAATTTGTGGTTATAATAGATAACTAGTAGATATAAAAGATATGATTGCTACAGAAATGTTGAGGGCTGGCTGGTTGGATAAAAGAGGGTATTAAGTTATGGTGCTGCTATTGTCAATCTTCGGCTGCATGTTGTAGAGACAGCAAGAGCTAGTAGCTTTCGTGATACTCCATGGCATGCGTGGTCCCAGGATTATTAGTCTTGCTCACAGGTCCAAGTGTGAATATCCATGCATGTTTCTATATCACTATATTTAATGCTTGTTCTAACAGTCGGTTGCGCCCCTGTGTCGGTGGAGGACGGGATTCTGGTGGTTGAGGGCAAGGGTTCCAGGAACAGCGTTCCTTTGCCCAATACACCACTTCGACCCTTACTTCACCTAGACGGGTGGTTGAATGGGCCCGGTTCAACCAATCGGCTGGTCATGCTAAGCCCTGTACATGCATGTTTGTTATACAAAATTTTGATTTTGAAACTATTGAATTTTTGTTAGTTGTCTTAATTTTATGATAATATATTTGCATTTCGATCAAGTAACTATAATTTAGTGTTTTGCCTAGAGTCCTATGTCCAGAAGGCAGTGGCTCATGGGCCAATCTGGTGGATTAATTACTTGTTAATTATTCCGCTTGAGTATATCATCCGGGTATCCTTGGTGCTGCAAGTCGGAAATCCACTTGTTATAAGCATTGTCTTTATGATACTCCGTGGTGGGTAGGGAGCTCGGATGATGAATCAATATATACTCGCCATGGAATACGAAACCCCCTCTAAGAAAACAAAACGTCCTCTTGACAACGATGATGACCAACGACCCTCCACTACAGTTGATTACTGGCCACGTTTCTTGATTGTTGAAACCTTGGATAAGACTCCCTTTAAACTGAATCCTTTTGCCATTTCAAAAGGTGTTTATGGCATAGCAGGAGAAGTGAAGACCGTTAAGCGCTTGCGTTCAGGATCACTTTTAATTGAATGCAACAGGAAAGCACAGGCAACGAACCTGCTATCGACAGATATGTTTGTTGGTGTTCCCGTTCTGGTCTCTGCTCATAGAACCTTAAACACTAGCAAAGGGATTGTACGAGACAGAGATCGTCTCTTTGCAGATATGACGGAGATTGATATCGTATCTGAGATGAAGGACCAAGGAGTGTTATTTGTCAGAAGATTTACCACCCGTAAAATAATGAAACTGTACCAACAAACACTTATCTCTTTCGTTTTCCGCGCCAAATCCTCCAAAATCAATCAAGGCTGGTTATTGCAATGTGAACGTTGATATGTACATTCCCACTCCTCTGCGGTGTTTTAAATGCCAAAAGTATGGACATGGTGTGAATAACTGCACATTGTCTGTTACATGTGCTCACTGTGCTGAGAATACACATGTAACAGAAGATTGTGACAATAGTTATAACAAATGCGCCAACTGCAACGGTAGTCATTCATCTTTTTCTAAAGATTGTCCTATGTGGAAAAAGCAGATGGAAATAAACAGGATTAAATATACCAGAAATATCAGCTTTGCTGAAGCAAAAAAGTTAGTTCTTTCTACAGAACATACTGAAACCTATGCCTCCATCGCCAGCACATCAACCGTACCAACCCATAAAGAAAGTTCTTCAACAACCACTATTCTTACTTCCTCACACTCCTGCCAAACAGACTTGACATGGGTGAACTCTGACGCTCCCAAACGCTTTTCTCCTGATCAGTCTACTCAGACGGAGAAATCACTTCCTGCACAGCAAACCCTCTCGCAGGGACAATCATCTCCTATTCCACCAGCTTCTATTCCACCAACTAGTTCTCAGCGTGAAAGAAAAGAGAAACACACCGGAAAGACCAAAATCAAATCAAGAGCAGAAACTTCAAAAACCAGATCGAGCACCCAAAGGGTCAGATCAGATAAGGATGTATAATAAATTCGGGTCACTAGAGGATATGGATGTGTCTGATAGCATCCACCCAAGGGCACATAGCTTGTCGCCCTCCAAGACAGTGCGGGGTAGATCCCCAATCAACCCACCAAAAAGATAGTTTTTCCAAAATATAATACAGTGGAATTGTAGAGGACTAAGGGTTAATTTTAATGAATTACAGCTATTAGTCCAAGATTTTACACCTTCAGCATTCTGTCTTCAGGAAACCTATCTGAAACAGACAGATACATTTAATTTACGTCAGTTCGATACCTATCATTGTTTTTCACCTCCAGGTGACAGGGCCACCGGCGGCTCTTCAATACTTGTTAAACAGGATGTTATCCATAGTCCTGTGGCACTTACAACTAATCTCCAAGCTGTTGCAGTTAGACTCACGCTTCACGTTACCTTTACATTGTGCTCTCTGTATATTCCGCCTTCTTCAATACTCCAGCAGTCTGATCTTCAAGCCCTCTATGACCAACTTCCGACACCCTGTATTCTAATGGGTGATCTCAATGGTCATAACCCAATCTGGGGTGGTACAAGCACGAACACTAAAGGTAAAATACTGGAAGATTTTATATCCAATAATGACTTGTGTATATATAATGACGATTCCAGCACTTTTTTGCATCCTGCAACCGGCACTTACTCTTCTTTAGATTTGTCTCTTGCAGACTCTAACCTCCTCAATGAATTTCATTGGTCAGTCCACAATGATCTCTGTGGAAGTGACCACTTTCCAACTATCCTATCAGAAATTTATCCCTCTGATTCTACATCTTATACAAGATGGAATTTTTCCAAGGCGGACTGGCCCCTATTTCAAACTTTGTCCACATCTAAACTAAAAACTGAATATTTCAGTGATATAACTGATCCTATTGAGGTTTATTCTGACGTCTTAAATAAAATAGCTGATGAGTGTATACCAAAGTCCTCTACGACTCCCCATGTACGGAAACCATGGTTTAATACAGACTGTAGGCAAGCGAGAAAAGCGCGGAAAAAGGCAGAGCGTTATTTCCGCCATCATCCAACTGTCCATAACCTAAATAAATTTAAAATACTCAATGCAAAGGCGCGTCGTACCTTTAAACAAAACAAACGACAATCTTGGAGAAATTATGTCTCCAAAATTAATTCACGTACGCCAATGTCCAGAGTATGGAACATGGTTCAAAGAATTAAAGGCAAAGGTTCCAAATCTGCTGTTCATCATCTTAAAGATGGTGATAATTTAATTACTGACAAGTCTAAAATTGCAGATAAAATTGGCGAAACTCTTGCCAAAAATTCTTCATCGGCAAATTATGTCCCTGAGTTTCAGAGATACCAGAAACAACAGGAAAAGACTAAACTTAATTTCGAATCAAATAACGGTGAAGATTATAATGAAGTGTTTTCATTATATGAGCTACATACTGCTCTTGAGCAAGCTCATGACACTGCAGCGGGTGATGATCATATCCATAACCAGCTACTGAAACACTTACCTGAACCATGTCTGATGACACTTTTAGATATATTTGACCAAATATGGACGTCCGGAAATTTTCCTCCCTCGTGGCGTAATGCCATTGTAGTACCAATACCAAAACCTGGCAAGGATCATACAGATCCGTCTAATTACAGACCAATATCTCTCACTAGCTGTGTCTGTAAAACCATGGAACGTATGGTGAATAATAGATTAACTTGGTATCTTGAAACCAATAACCTTATAACAAATATTCAATGTGGTTTCAGGAAAAATCGTAGTACCATTGATCATTTGGTACGTTTAGAATCCTTTTGTTAAAAATGCAATCGTAAATAAACAACATGCCGTATCGATATTCTTTGATCTCGAGAAAGCATACGATACCACCTGGAAGCATGGCATTTTGAAGGATTTACATGATTTTGGTTTGAGGGGCGTTTACCTCTTTTTTATATCACAGTTTTTAAGAGGCAGGCAATTTCAAGTCCGAGTGGGTTCTACCCTGTCTGACCATTATAATCAGGATCAGGGTGTCCCTCAAGGCAGTATTTTGTCGGTCACTTTATTTAGTATCAAGATTAACAGTTTGTCAAAGGTTTTAAATGATTCAATTGATGGATCTCTATTTGTGGATGATTTTAATATTTCTTGTCGTGGTAAGAATATGCATACTATTGAACGGCAAATGCAGCTGTGTTTAAATAAAATAAATAAATGGTGTCTTGAAAACGGATTTAAATTTTCTAAATCAAAAACTAATTGTATACATTTTTGTAGAAAATATAAACCGCATAAAGACCCAGAACTGTTTCTCAATGGCACTCCCATCAAAGTTGTAAAGGAGGCCAAGTTCTTGGGTTTAATATTTGATTCTCATTTAACCTTTCTTCCGCATATTAAATCCCCTTAAAACTAAATGCATGAAGGCACTTGATTTATTGAGTGAGTGAGTGAGTTAATATTTAACGTCACATCGGCAATATTTCAGCCATATCGTGACGAGAACATTTTACATTGTAATGGAATATGTATATATTATAAAACCTGTCATCGAAGGACAGTAAAGCAACTAGAGTATCACAGATATATATATGTAAAACTAGTAATTGAATCTAAAACATTTTAACCATAGGGGACAACACAATCTAAAAATGGGCTATAGATCGCTAACAACTGAAGGTAGATCACCATACTAGGGACCATGGGGACTTACAGTACATTTGCTTCCTGCATGGGCCCTAGCTGGATTTATATCATCCCCTCAGCCGTTAGCAATTAAGACATATCTAGCCATACATTAAAATTACAAATATTCTACGATTAAAAAACGGAAAATTTAAATTGACTTTGAATGTTTTGGGACTTACGTAC